AAATGGGGTAGGAAGGGATAAATTTGGGAGTTTGAGATTTGTAAATGTTAGCCACTATATATAAAAGCAGGTTAATAAAAAAGATTGCTCTTGTATTTCCATTCTTTTGCTGGTAATCAGTTTGTATTTTTAAATTTAAAATAGGTTCTTATAGGCAGCATATATTTATGTCTTCCTTTTCTATACAATCTAACAATCTCTGCTTTATAATTGAGCTCTTTAGACCATTTACATTAATGTAATTATCGGTAATGATATGTTTGTGTTTTAGTCAACTATCTTGCTATTTGTTTCCATTTGTCCCATCTGTTCTTTGTTTTCTTTTTCCTCTAACACTTTTTGATTATTTTGAAAATTCCATTTTATCTCAGGGGAAGGGTATATATAGCTCAAGTGGTAGAGTGCATTTTATCTCATATGTTGGCTTATTACCTACAGCATTTTTCATGGTTGTTTTAAGGTTTATAATATACATTTTTAACATTTCAGAATCTATGTTCAAGTGATATTAACATATAGAATAAGAACTTTAAAATTGCATACTTCCATTCCCCTCTCTCCTGGCCTTTATGCTACTTTTCACATACACTTTACTCCCACACATGTTATAAATCCTGCAATACACAGTAAGTTGTGGGCAATCAGAAAGCTCACATTGTTTCCCCTTTCTCAGAGAAATTTTTCCTCCGCTGTCTGATGTTCAGTAACAGAAAACTGTTGCTTCATCTATCTTGTCCAGATTTTCATTGTTTCAGTTAGGGAAGTAAATCCAGTCCCTGTTACTCGATTTTCATTTGAAGTATAAATATGTCTTGATGTCTTAAATAATGGTTAATCCTGAAGGCATTATTTCACTTCTAACCAAAGTGCATTTCCTGTGCTATCTGGACTTCCTGGAAGAGTCCAGTGTGCACTCTTTCTGCTCTGCCTCTGGTTAGAAAATTCAAACTGCATTGCTTTCTTTGGTCACAAGGTGGCCCTTAAGTTTATTTTCTGAATTTCCCGTCAATGGATTTGAATTTTTTTAAGAAAAAAAAAATCCAGTGGTTACTTTTATTCAAAAGTTATGAGATACTGTCTGCATTATTATTTCAATTTTGTTACAAATATACAAAGATTCAAACATGTATCCTTGTTTATCATTCGCTAAATACCACTAAGTTTATACTTGTTCAGTTTTTCATTCATCAGATATCTACTAGATGTACATGATGTGCTAAAACTCCAATGGCCCAATCCATATCTACATTTCAAAACTTTCTTGAACATCCTTTTTCTTTGATAACAAAGGGCGCACTCTTAATCTCACTGCCTTCTCTTTGCTAGACTTTTTAAGGCATTTATGGAGAAAAAAATGTCCATCTCTTTTGTGAAGAATGGCCACTCTGACAAAGAAAAGGAGGCTCACCACATAGAATGATGTCAATAGGCAGATGCAGCCAGATCTTAGATATGTCCTGTTCCCTTATTATCTTTTGCTCACTTTCTGCTGGTTGTTTGTTGCCTGAGCTTGTTACATGGAGCCTGACCACTCACATACTACTCCCTCAGATGCCATTTCAGATCCAGACACTCTGTTAAGAACCAAGGAAAGCTGGTTAGCAGAAAGCATTCTGTCCAGAGACTAGAATTTTAAACTCATCCTTCTCTGAGGTTGACAGGGTATCTTGGATCTGCCTGTACATGGAGGAGATGTACATTTTTTCTGGGAATATGCATATCTTATCTTCTATCAAGATATGCCAAGGATTCACACATGAGCTTATAATTTCTCTTCATGAAGGAAATACTGAATATCTTTAGGCCAATAAAGTCAGAATGTGTGTTTTCCGTAGAAGCTTGTGCTAACATTGGCAATCGAGAGTGAGAAGTCTGGTAGGTCACAAGCATCTCTGTTCATCAGTTTTTCTGTCTTTTCAACTCTAGCCTTTCTCTTTATAAACTTCTGTCTTGGACAAACGTGCCTTGTGTCTCGAGCACCTGGAGGAGGGAGGGTTTTGGAATTGATTAGGCATCTGATTCATGAAGTCTGTTTGTTCAATTACATGGCATTTTCATCTGCCTATCCACTTTTCCCTTTGGTTTCATAAGTGCTACTGTGATGTTATATTCTAGAGCAGAGGTTGGCAAACTTTTTCTGTTATGACCAGATAATAAATATGTAGGCTTTGCAGGCAGGACGTATCATTTCTTTCACAACTACTCAGTTCTGCCCCTGTAATCCAAAACCAGCCACGGACAATGTGTAAATTAATAAATATGGCTGCTTTTCAGTGAAACTTTATAGACACCAGATTTTGAATTTCATGTAACTTTTACATCACAAAATATTCTTGATCTTTTACAACCACTAAAAAACGTAAAATTTATTTAGCTCAAAAAAAATAAGCAGTAGGCCAGATTTGGCTCGTGGGCTGTAGTTTGCCAACTTATTCTAGAATCCTAACTTTGAAGTTTATTTCCACAGAAGACTCTCTTCATACATAGTATGTATTTCACCTACTTAGCACATTGCAAAGCAACTTTATTTCCCAAGTTCTATTGGGACACTTAAACCCAGTAGTCCTCCAATAGGTCATCTCGAAAAGATCTCCACATTTGGGCATCCACTGACACAATCTCCTGGTATCCAACTCAATATAGAATTTTTTTGCATTCATCGGGTTGGGAAAGTGGTGTGAGGAGGGACTGCCTCAAATTTTAAGTGAGCTTTTCCCTCACATATTTTATACAGTCTAATGAACTGGGGAGATTTCTTGATAAATAACAACTAATAAAGAACTAGACAAACAAGGTCTTTCTGTGAAGCTAAACAGGGAGACAGGATTTATCCAGTTCATAGAACAGAGTGAGGATTCAATTCATTGAGAATTCCAGAGAAGTAAGTGGGACTTTCTCACCTTGATTCCTGAACATCAACAGCCTGGGGAAAGGATGGGAATGGGGCACAGTAGCAGGGGAATGGTAGTAACACCTTAGTCTATTGGACTTGTGAGTATAAGAAAGACCTGGGAGAACTTCCCCAAATAGCTGAAGGTAATTATCTAAAGGGTCGGATTACGCATATGCCAGTGGGAATAAGAGCTTAAATAAAGTTCACAAATTTGTTGCCTCATCAAGTGCACACAGAAGCCCTGGGAGGTGATTATCTTCATCTTGCTGATAAACTGATTTTTAAAGAGATTATGTCTCATCATTAGGTTTATACTTCTAAATAAGAGATCGAGGAAAGCTGAAACCGAGATTCTGTCACAAGTGCTCAGAAAGTGTTTAGTAAGTGCTCACAATGATTTCATAGGTGATCAAGCTCTTTAAGTAATACTTGTTCAGTTTTGAAAAAATGAGAAAATAGAGATAAGAAAAATTATTGATAATTCTATGATAGATACCTTAATTTTTACTTTATATATTTTAGATTGTGTTCATATATAAAATATATATAACTTTAAGAAAAAAAAGAACGCTTTTTTAAACTGCTTTATTAACATCACAATATATAATGAACATCTTTTCATGCAATAGATAAAACTCTCCTGCTGACAGAAATTTATGGATTGGGTCAAAAACAACAATTAGAAGCTGGTAAGAGGAGACCCACAAGAAACAAGTAACATCAAAAGGCTTACAACAAAGATACATCACGAACATGTAAGTTTAGGAAGCAGGTGTGTTTCCCTATCAACTTCAGGGAAAACATCAGGATTCAAGGCATAAGGCAAAACTCATCATGATGGTCATGGTGAGGGGGATCAGTGCTAACTGCCCTCAGACTATGACTCAACTGCTTTTCCCTCAGCTTTTCCATCAGCTGTCTCACCTCCTCCCCAATCCTCTCCATATTCTCTTCTCTCATCCTTGCCTGTGGCTCTCCAACCCTCTGAGTCATATCCCATCTATACTGCAGGATGGGCTGCCTAACACGGAACCGCCTACGATTTCCTCTAGGTACACGATATTCACCAGCTTTCAAAAGGAGGGCCAATGGCTCTCCTTTATTAGCATCTTGTTCCTTTTCATCTGTTTTTTCATTTCCCTCATTGGAGTTTTCCATGTTGATATTTTTCAGCATCTGTTCCTCTTT